AGGCCAAAGATATCAAGTGGGTTTTCCCATTTTTAGGGGCAAATTTTACTTGATCTAATCCTTTAGCAGTATAATCTCATACTCTAGCCAGCTAGCAAATGGATGTTTCACATAATTTCCTGTTTTGAAGAATAACAAAATCCCCATATCTGCTAGTTTTAATATTTTAACATGTTCTTGTTTTTTCTCCAAACTGGAGACGCATATGAGCATTTATACACTGTATTCAAACCTCACCAGACAAAACGCTGTGCAAATTCCCACCATCCTCTCTTTTCTTTCTTTCAGTGCCTTTACTCTCATTAAGCCCTCTAATATCCAAATGAAGTAGCTACAGTAATAGCATAGTTTTTTGTTTGTTTAAGTGCCTGCTTGAGGTAACCGAAAGTCATACAATGAGTTTATAACCATACAAAGAGCTGATACAAAGGGTTGATAGTCATACAATGAGTTTGTAACAGACCAAGGGACAGATTTGGAGTCTTTCTCCTCTGGTTTGGGAATTGCAATAGTCCCCAAGCATAACCTGGAATTCTGGTTGTGAACTGTGTGACCTTGGGCAAACTTCTTGACCTCTGTGAACTTCATTTTCTTCTATTAGGACAATTTTAAGTAGGAAGGGATATAATAATGCTGACTACACAGCTCTCTTTGCAAGCCTGATTAGGATAATGTATTTAAGCCTAAACACCATGTGGCTTTTGCTTTTCTCTCTAGTTGCTCTGTTCGCGGTTACTTGCTTCCCCAGCTGGACTGCAGCTTGTTTGAGGGATGAGATTTTCCTCCCTCGGTGCCTATGATTGTAGTTTTGAGACTATTACACTTTTTTTTTTTAATTGTAGATTTCAAAAGTATTTAAGCCAATCAGTTTCCTTTCTCTCATCCCTTTTCCCCAAACACACACACACACATACACACAGATTCCTTTTATAAATAGTTGTATGAATGTTGTAGGTGGGAGAGGGAAAAGCACATTTATTTCCACTTTCCATGTATTTGACCTAGAACTCAGGCTGCTAACCGAACGGCCGGCAGTTCGAAGCCACCAGCCGCTCCTTGGAAACCCTTTGGGGTGGGAATTGACTTGACAGCAACGGCTTTTTGGTTTTCAGTGGAAATAGAATAGATTAAAATCAGACACATCAGAAATCAAACTGCTGCTCCGTTTCCTTATTTCCGTGAGCCTCTCCTACCTTAGGTGTAAAGGGGATACCACCACTCTGCAGGCTGCTGCAGTACCTAAAGGATAACAGATGCACACTTCCTTGCATACAATAGGCCTCACGCCAGCTGACTCCTGTTCTGGGGCTGGGGCCAGCTGAAGCCTGGACAGCTGTGAGTGTCGATAGCTGAAGGCTGGAATCCCAGTTTCCAGAAGGGCTTCCATCCTCTGCTGCTTTTCAGCTGGAAACATCCCATGGCAGAACCACTGATTCTGAGACTTTTCTCACTGGTACGCTAAGTATCTGATTATTAATTAATTGCCGTTAAGCACTCTTTGGCTCAAATGGTAAAGCAATCGGCTGCAGACTGAAAGGTTCGTGGTTTGAACCCCACCCAGTGAGTCCACGGGAGAAAGGCCTGGCATCCTGCTCCTGTAAAGATTACAGCCAAGAATACCCTATGGGGAAAGTTGTACTCTGTCACATGGAGTCGTTATGAGTTGGAACTGACTTGACAGCACCCAACAACAAGTACCCTTCGTACGAAAAAACACAAACCCATTGCCATCAAGTCAATTCCGACTCATATCGACCCTATAGGACAGAGTAGAACTGCCCCATAGGGTTTCCAAGGAGCAGCTGCTGGATTCGAACTGCTGACCTTTTGGTTATGTGTGTGTGTGTGTATATATATATGTATGCAACATACATTTCCTAAAGCACTCTCAATTTTTTCTTTCAGTGCCTTTAATCTCAATAATCCCTCTAATACCCAAATGAGGTAGCTGTAATAAGAAAATACATACACACATATACTATATACATCTTTGTATCCCATTGCTGTCGAGTCGATTCAACTCATGGCGAGCCCATGTGTTTGTATATATATAATACTTATTCTACAATGGGCACAAGTTCCGTAATCAGCAAAGAGATGTTCTTCCAGAACAGGTAATGGGAGTGAGGGGTGACGGCGTCCCTCTGGCCCTGGGGTCACGCCTTCTGGCCTCTCTCC